ATAAATCTTTTCCTGAATATGACTTGTTACTACCTCAATGGCCAGGCTTAGTCATATGCTAGCTAGTCACACTTACCTATAAGGTAAATGCAGTCTTTATTGTGAGTGTTCAGGCACCCATTTAAAATGTTGAGGTTCTATTACCATGAAAGAGAAGAAAGAACAGATACTGGGAGGCAACCAGCAGTTGCCACAAGGAGCAATGGCACAGCCCAAGAAACTTTGCAGGTGGAGATTCAGGTTTGGGCAAGGAAGAATATAGACACAGCCAAAGAAATAGATCTGTTAGCACCAGTCTGCTAACATCATACACCTAAGCTTTTCACTGGGAAAAGGATTGTGTTAATGTGGAGCCACTACATAAGGTTATCTATATGAGATTTATTAGGGGCAATGAGAAAAAATGGGAAAGAAGCCCAGGAGAGGATGGGAAAACCATCAGATAGCAGGTGAAGGAGAGAGGGAAGAAAGGAAACATCTTAGACTATAGTACAATTCTAAGAGCATTGAGCAAGGCCACTGGAAAGTCCTTGAGCTCAGGCTGACCATCAGAGGAGTTGGGTGTCCCCCAGGAACACACCTCCCTTGGTATTCCTGCCACCCTCGGTCATTGGCCGTGAGCAGCCCATGCAAGATGTGGCCATGGTGTAAATGCAGTAGCAGAATTCAGAGCACAACAGCTGGGCTGTGGGTCAGTTATGTTCCCTGCAGTTGGAGATCTGAGTCACCATTTTTATGGCACCAGCAGGGTAGAGAGACTGATCTTCTGAGTGAAAATAATGAAGAGCTAGGAGAAAGAGAAGATGTTTTAGAAGAAAATAGAAAAAGTAATATAGGAATTCCAGTAAGAGGGAGAAACTTTAGACTTCTGGAAAATGTCACTGGAACATTTCTTGTCTACACCATTATTTTTCTGTTTGCTAAGACAGAAAAATGAAGTTTATTAGCTAATGAACTTCTTATATCTCACTGAGCAGTAAACCCCACCAGAGAATAGAACATAGTAAGGAACAAAGAATCAAGCATTTGAAACTGATGGGAAGTTTTGTATGTAAAGCAGTGATTTGGGACACAGCGTTTGTCAAAGCCCAGACAACATGACACGTAGGACATGGTGTAGTCTATTGCTGGAGTCTGCAAAGACATGGTTGTTAGCAATGGGACTCACAGGACCGTTCACAGCAAGACTGAGTGTGGGCCATCAGGGAGATTCCACTCAGCTGAAAAGTCAGGTGACAGGAGCTGAGCAGCCAGCAGGAATTGGCGGGGCGGGGGCGGGGGGGCATGGGACACAGCAAGCCAGCTTGAGGAGGCTGATCTGGTGTGGACTGGCACTGGACAGGCAGACTATGCACTAGCAGCATTTGTCAGAGGAGCAGACAAATGATGGTGGCTGGGCCACTGGGAGTGCTGCAGCTCCACTCAGTGGAGCTACTACAGCAGGACTTGGTCAGGAGTTGATCAGGAGTTGGGTTTTTCTTGACTGAGAAGTCTAGTGTCTCAGCATCCTCTCCTCTGAGCTAGAGCTTATATACTCACTCCCCTGAACATCAGCCAATATCCTAAATGATTTTCCTTCATTTCAGTTTACAGTGCTCTCCATAAAAACACCTAATTACCTCTCTCTTTATTACCTTTAGATGTGTGTCTTAACCTCATTGTTTTGTTGCCAAATTATGACTCTTGACCATAGCTCTTTGTCACTGCAGAGAACTGCATTTCAGTCTTCAAAGACACTGAGTTGTCATCGCCTAATCACCGAAGAGCATTGCTGTTTTGTATGTTAATTATTAACCATTCTTTACCACATTTTCTTTCTTTTTAGCTAAAACATTTTATTACAGAAATTTTTTATTTTTAAAAAAGATTTTATTTACTTATTTTTAGAGAGAGGAGAAAGGAAAGAGAAAGAGAGGGAGAGAAACATCAATGTGTGAGAGAAACTGAATGGCTGTCTTTTGCACCCCTCAAACTGGGGACCTAACCCACAACCTAGGCATGTGCCCTGACCAAGAATTGAACTGGCGACCTTTCAGTTTGCAGGTTGGCGCTCAACCCACTGAGCCACGCCAGCTGAGGCTATTACAGAAATTTTTTAATAAGTGTAAAAGGAAAGGTAATAGTTTAATGAATGTCCTATTGTCATCACCCAGTATCAACAGTTATCAGTATTCTGCCATTCTTACATTATGTATTCACCCTCATACTTTTTTTATACTAGAATACTTAAAAGCAACTCCCAAATATTTTATCATTTCATTGGTAAACACTTTAGTGTGTCATGTTTAATATAGAAAGCCTTTAAAATAAAGATAAATAACTACCATTTCTGCACTCACTAAAATTAGCAATATTTCTTTATTATCAACTAACACCAAATCTGTCTTCCATTTTTCCCCCAGGTGTCTCAAAAATGTCATTTTACTATTGGCTTGTTTGAATAAGGATCTATCATAGTCTACACATTGCCTTTTGTTGATGTGTTCCCAGAGTTTCTTGGATTTTCAAACAGTCCCCTCTCCATTTGTTTTTGTTTTTGTTATTGTTTTAATGCAATGTATTTGTTGAAGAAAGTGGGCCATTTGTCATTTCAGAATTTCCCACATTCTAGATTTGGCTGGTCATAACTTCACAGTTCTCTGTGACATTGTTCTATGTCCCCTGCCTTTCCTATAAACTTGTAGTGATATCTATAAGCTCAACTCCACTCAGATTTGATTTGCTTTTTTATAAGGATGTTTCGTCACTACCACTACTGCATCACATCAGGAGGCATACTATATCTGGTTGTCAGACTTTTTGTTATGATAATATGGACTAATACAGTGGTTTTTCTACTGGTATGCCACAAGAATTTTTAAAATGTACAATATCTGACTTTTTAGTCAGGTGCACTGACCTCTTTTCCTTAGATTGTTAAATTTAAAAAATGGCAACAGTCAATAAACAATAGCCTTCCGGTGTGAATGAATAAAAGTTATACCTATTTTTTGTGAGATCAAAAAAATAAATATTTGTGTGCCACATAATTTTAGTAATTATTTTATGAGATGAAAAAGGTTGAAAATTGCTGGACTAATAGATTTATGTGGTGTTCCACCCCTTCCATTCATCATAGAGTTCCCCATCCACTTTTTATAGTTTTAGCAGCCATTGACTCAGCTGCATGCTAAAGGCTAAAGGCCACAGGCATTTCTTGGGAGAAATGTTTTTCAGAAATGGCTATCTTGGGCAGCTTGGCAGTCATGTCAAGTGGTTAGAGTTGGCCTTACCTAGGTATTGAGTTATTGGTTGCACGTATGGAACAAAATCCCTTTGTAATTTTAGATTTTACTGTATTGTTTTTGAAGGTAGGTGAACTTGAAATTCTTATTACTTGATCCTTGCGTCACTGAATTCTTGAGTTTATATAAATTTACAAAGATTTTCTTGTTATTGGTTTGATAATTAAAATTATTATAAAGCTAGTATTTCAAAATTTTATAATAGGTTCTGGTATTTAATGCATAAACATAAAGCATGCTTTCCTGTCAGAAATACCTGGGTTCCAGTTCTAGTTTTACAAAATACTGTTTGTTTCGTATTGGGATACTGGTTTTGTTGCTCCAAAGCAGGCCAAAATAATAGTGCCTTAGATAAGATAGAAGGTTCATCTCTCTCTTTTGGAAAAATTATGAGCCAGTAGGTAGCTCAGAGAGTAGGGAAACTTGTCCCCCATGGTCATTCAGGTACTCGGGCTCCTTCTATTCACTTATCCAGCCCAGGTGTCATCTGTATCCACATGGTTGAGAAACTGGCTCACCACCACCTTCACACATTCCAGACAATGGTAAAGAAGAGAACTTAGAAAGCAAGCCACTTCTTTAATGGGAATGGCTGGAAGAGGCACGTGTCACTTCCTTTTATGGCCCATTGGCCAGAACTCAGTCACATGGCCCTTATCTAGCAAGAAATTAGGCTGGGAAATGTAGCTCTAGCTGGACAGCTGTGAGCTTCTGTAAAACCTGAGAGTTCCACAATTAAAAAGGAGAAGGAAAATAGGGATTTTAAAGGTCAGTTAGTACTTGGTTACAGGATCTCTCTAAGCTTCTGTTTCCTTACCAGTAAAATGGGAATGAAAATACCTCCCTGTTGTGTCTGTTAGAATCACATCCATGAATGGATAAATTCATGGAGCATCTATTAGATATATGCTATTTTACTTTTAGATATGTAAAAATGGTTTCATTTATTACAGGCAGGGAGGGGCGACAGGCATCACAGAGCAGAAAGGGCATGGGCCTTGAACATATGGTAGACCTGGATTTGAATCTTTGTTAGTTGATACTGTGTGACTGAGGACACATTTGCTTAACCTCTCCGACCCTCAGTGAAATGAGGGTTAAACTCATAAGGTATCTTGTAATAATTTAAGGAAAAAGTACATAAAAATATCTTAGTGGAGTTCCTGACATGTAAAAGATATACAGTAAGTGGTAGCTAATTATTGAGTGATCTGAGTGTAATTTCTTAGGTAAGTATTCCTAAAATTACTATATAAAGTTAATTTGAAGAAAACTGCTTCTAAGTGGTTTCAACTGGTAACATACAATCACCAAACTGTATTTTTACAGTTTAGACACTTGAAGCTTAAACCTAAGGCCGTGTTTTCTAAAGAGATCTCTGAGAGGCCCAGGCACTAGCATCACCAAAAATACTCAGTAAAAATGCAGCTCCTGATCAGCATCCCTGTGACCACAGGCCCATCTCCACATATTAATAAACATCTCCAGGGTGATCTTTAGCATGCTGAAGTTTGAAGTCTCAGGTCTAATCCACAGCACTCATTTAAGTATTAGAATACTTGTACAGTATTTTGAGAGAAGGAATTCATTTGTCTTATCTGATTTCAGATAAATAAGCTTAGAATCCTGGGTTTTTTTAATGAATTCAGGATGAGATACTTACTCCCAAAAGGTTGCTTAAAAAGTAATGAATGTTGGCTCTCAATTCTTTTTTAGGTATTGAGAAACCAGAGATTTCCTGCATCCTATCATCATGCAGTGGAAACTGTTGTGAATATGCTGATGCCACACATCACTCAAAAGTTTCGAGATAACCCAGAAGCATCTAAGAATGCAAATCATAGCCTTGCTGTATTCATCAAGGTGGGGATCTCCAGGCCAGAGGGTGCTGGCTAAGTAACTGAAGTGTCCTTTCTAGCAGAGTAACTAGTATATAGTAGTTTGTAGTTAGTTGCTCAGTCAGTGTCAGTGACATGTTTATGTGCTAAAGGATAAACTCATTAACAATAAAGACTGATTAGAACCCAACTTTCCAAAAAGCTTGGGCCTAAATACTTACCTTTATGAGTTGTGTTGTCCACAGAGATGTTTCACCTTCATGGACCGGGGCTTCGTCTTTAAGCAGATCAACAACTACATCAGCTGCTTTGCTCCTGGAGATCCGAAGGTAGTGTTGTGTGTGTTACATGCTGTTCTTTTTTTCCTCACTGATTTACTACCAGAAACCTGCCCATTTCTCTTGGTTCATATCAGAGTTTTCTTTCGGTCCCAGGACACTACTCACTCTCCCTCTCTAAAGATACTAACTAGTACTTTACATTAAAGATACTAACTAGTACTTACATTAATATGTGAGATGTCAGGGACACTGGAATCCCAAATTTAAAATAAAGATATGTATTTGATTTTCTGAAAAACACCTGAAATGACTTCTCAACTGCAAAACTAAAAGTGTGTGTGTTGGGAGTCATAGTTTCTTTAGCAAGGTAATAAAAGTAACTATGCCTGTCCTCTTACTCATTTTTTTCCTATATTTAGTCTGTGTCTGTAATTATAGGCTGCCTTAATTTCTTTATTGAAGTAGGAAGAGCATTTATAATAAATGCTTTAAAAGTCAGTGGAAAATATTGTTTAATGGAATGTGTTCTCAATTTTCAAACAAATCCCTGCAACCATTCTAAAATATAAAATAGCACAGAGCATGCAGTTCTAAGAAGATCAAGAAGCTAAAGACAGGGTGTGTTATTTCTTACATGTTCTTAGGATGCTCTGTTAAGTATGCAGTGAGGTATTTAACTTAGGACTAAACTTTTTTCTCCTGCAGACCCTCTTTGAATATAAATTTGAATTTCTCCGTGTGGTGTGCAACCATGAACATTACATTCCATTGAATTTACCAATGCCATTTGGAAAAGGCAGGATTCAAAGATACCAAGGTAATCTTACCTTTACATATGTTTGTGAGTGTGCGTGTGTATGTGTGAGTGTACGCACACTTAGTTTTTTCACTAAGAGAGTCATTTATTTTTAATAAGATGAGAGAATTGATTCCAACATGACATTAGACTTTTTTTTTGTTTGTTTTTTTCATGGATGGATTAAATTTTTTCTAGTTAAATTTCCATGTTAAAAAATACTGATAAAATGCTCTACAGGAACTTACCTTTCAGCAAACTTACCAGACTACAGATCATGTTAGTGTAATTCTTTTTTATTGAAACATTCCTTTGCTTAAACAATAGAGATCCATTTTACTTACTGTAGTTTATTTTTATTTGTTTCACTTTTTCTTTTTTCTCAAGAATTAGCTTTTCTTTCATCAACTGTGGAGTCAAATGAAACTCCTGTAGGTAGGTGCGGGGTATGATGCTTGCTTTCTTGCATTTTCCTCCTTTAAAAGACAAAGAATGCAAGTGATTGCTGAAATGCTTCCATATGCTATTCATCTAGGCATTCCCCATACACTTTGGTCAGTTTTTAAACTCATGACAAACCAGTGAGTGTGTTCTCACTGTAGCTAAGATGCTGCAGTAACATCACAGGAAGGCATCTTGTTTTTGCTCATGGGTCCTCTAGGATGTTTCTTTAGAAGTAAAACAAATAAAAAACCCTGCCTCACTCTAAAAATGTATTAATCCACCATTTCCATAGCCCTTGTCCATAGTGGTGACAATAACCTAAATCACTAGCAACACAGCTTTCACATGCTTTTTATGTTTGCATGTTGAGTCTTTATTAACTTTCCTGTATCCTCTTTAAGTTCAGCTCATAGTGATTTCTCTGTCTTTACTGAGTCAACCAAAGTAGTCTGCCAGGTCTGTCGAGTGATCTTTACTAGGTTTAGTGTCTTGTATGTGCTCAGAATCGTTTTTGCTAAAGGAGAGAAAATGTGGAAGGGTGCCACCAAACTATTAATAACATGTAAATCAACTGACCCTGAAGTTCAGAGAGAAATATATAAAGGCGTTTATTCAGAGATATAAATATCTTCCCCCCAAACAGACTCAGACTGATTTTTAAGGAACAGAAGAGGGATTGTGGTCCTGGAATGGGTAGTCATGCATTCAACAAGTATTTACACAGTACCAACTATGTTTAGCCTCAGGAGACAGTCATGAACAAGTGTCCACATAAAAATGTCCAGACCTGTGAAGAATCTTTGTAAGATTTTATTTTAGCTAAACTAACTATTGCCAGGAAAGCAAGACCTCAAACATTTCTTAGAATGGCAGTCAGCAGCTTCCTTTATGATTACATGAAGGGGGAAGAAAGCAAGGTAGAGATGACATTATGGGATAATTAACAAGAATATGTGCTTTCTTAAGAATAATTACCCTTATTTCAAAGGAACGTAACCTAGATGTACAAAATCTTGCTTAAGGCAAAGATAAATCTTTTACTAAAAAAAAGTTGTAGGCCTGGGGTATCACTACCCACCATGACCTGCCCAGTTACGAATTTATGATCAGATCACCTTGTGAGGTTACTTTTCCATAGAATCCCTTTTTTATCCACACAAGGATGATAATCCTTGGCTCTTTTACCTAAGGGAAATGTGTAGTGATAATTTCTAAGGATAGAAAAACAAAGCAAGGAAAGGGGGTATGAAATGAAGTGACTTTTGAGATAGGGTGACCAGAAAATGGTAATCTGAAAAAAAAGTGAAGAGTTGAGCCATGCACACATCTGGGGAACATAGTCTGGGCCAAAGTAATAGCCAGTTACTCAGCATTCCCTGATCCAACCCTGGCACAGCTATCCAGTCTCACTCCCCACTATCTGCCACATTTCAGAAACACCTGCTACTCCCAGCTTCTCAAACAGGACATGCCTACCCCTGACACACCCCAACCTCAAATAGCCATCTCCCTGAATGTGTTCTCATCTTCCTCCCCAGCCAATCACTTAGCACCTCCCATGTGGTGCCTGTCAGGTCTCCTCCTCACCCTCTCCCAGTACCTCAACTGGAATTAATTGCTCTCCACCCTGCACTTCAAACCCTGTCACACCATCACCTCGCAGTCTGTTACCAGCCCCCTGTACTTGGGAACTGTAACTGTCTCTTCCTTTCACCTGTCAGGGCGCCGAGGACAACTCTTTATATCCAGTGGTTAGACAGCGAACATGTGCTAATGCCTGCCTTCTGCTCTGACCCAGCAGGGCCCAATTGCTTATCCTGCAGAACTGAATGGAGTAGAAATCCTTTAGGTGCCCAGCAGACTGACACAAACTCTTAGTAGGGTGCTGAGTATTTGGTGACAAGAGGGACTGCCCCAGGCAGATGGGTATGAGTCATTTAATGATAATTTCCCTTACATTGATAGGAATAAGTATTTTTTATCATTTTTTTCCCTCTCTCCCTTTTCACTATCCCCCCCCAACCCACCCATGAGCACATGCACACAGACACATGCACAGTTAAACCCATCAGTAGTTTCCTTCTAAGGGCTTTATGTGAATTCAAGCTGTGAGCTGTTGTTTGGATAAACTGGACTTAATGTAAAGAGTGGACACTGTTATTCTGGAAAGATAAATAATCTTTCCGTTGCTGCCGCTAACAGGTTTTGTTATCAGTAGAAAATAAGTTCTTGCGGTGTCATGAGGAAAAGAATTTCCTGAGACCCACATGGGAGGATGAGGCTCCATGGTAAACTTTACTGATGATGTAAAATTAATGGGATTTCTTTCCTGGCTTCCCAAAATCCCATCTCTGTCCATCTTGCCATGGAAAAGGTCGAATCTTGTCTTCAGTAGGTCCAGGATGAAAGCCAGTGCCCAGAAGCTCTGCTCCATATTAGTGTACAGTCCAGTTCAGCACCTGGCTAGCTTAGCGTGTGTTTCCAGCTGCAGTCTGTTGCCCTCCTGTGATATTCAAGCTCTCTCCTGGAGCCTGCATGGCCATAGGCCGCATGTCTGCTAAGGCCACATGGCTATGGAGAAAGGACATGCAAGTACCTGAGGCAAGTATGGGGCATGAGCAACAGAGAGAGAGAGAAAGAGGGAGAGCAAGCGAGCATGAGCTTCTTTGTCTCCCTGGAATTAGTTAGTTTGGGCTTGGGACTGACCAGGTGATTTTTACCAAACAACTAGTCAATTTCCCAGGATTTAGCAGGCTTTGGATAGGTCCGCACCCCCTAGTTAGACTGATGGGCTTCTATGGTCAAGCACCTCCCCCAGCACCCCTTAATCCAGTACCAGAGGGGGAAAGGGGGGAGTGTTAATCTTGGCAGAACAATGCTAAAATCCTCTCTGGTGCAAAGCTGTAGCTTCCTGGCTAAGCAAGCAGGTTTATGCTGCCCATTTTATTAAGCTCAATGTCTAAGTACCTTTGCTCCTCCTTTCCCATCGATAATTAATTAAATACCAACGGTAAGAGTTTCACAGGACTTGGGTTGGTATTTTGGATAGGTTTAGTTGTACTAATAGGGAATTAAAGTCAAATGAGGGGTCTTAGAATTTCCTCTAATACTGGATTGAGTATAATAATTAAAATCCTTGTTACAGTTTACTGAAAAGGTATATTTCAGCTTCAGAGTGATGTTTAGCTGTTTTTATTTGCCTTCTCTAAGCAGATTTTGCATTTGCTTCTATCTCTTTTCCAGAAGAGCTTTTAGTTTTGTCATTTAGCTTGATAATGATTTAGTAATTTGGGTGGTGTTTTGTCCCTTTTCTTTTTAGTTTATATTAGTTTTTTTATTTGCTTTTAGAGGTACAGAAATATTAAGATTATATTTTTTAAAATCTACATTAAATACATTTTTTATTCCAGTGATAATGAAATAAATAGGTTATATGCTAACTTGTTAATTTTAAACATATGGGATTTTAATAGGCATATATAGGCATTAATGGTCAGGTAATGGGTAAATTAACTCATTTAGTAAAGAACATTTTAGTACACCATGTATTCTTATTCTTTCTTTTATTACATGTTTGTTATTCATGGACTACTTCTCTATAATACTATCAATTAGTCCAATAACTTTTTAAATTTCATTTCAATAGCAAAATTACATTTGTCATGTAATATATGCTGTTCTATATTCTAAAAATTGGTACTAAAACTATTCACTAAATTTTATAGGATGTAATATGCTTTAATATCCACTGCAATTATTTGTATTTAAATTTTGTTTTCATGAAGAGCTCCATGTGTTAAGAAGTAGAGCCATATTTTAGATAATAATCAAACCTTTCCCATTTGAAGCCAAGTCTTATCATCTGTTGACACACCCAGGGTAGGTTTGGTTTTTATTTTATTCAAAGAATGGTACATTCTCTTTAATTAAAATAGTTTCTATGCTTATTTCAGACCTCCAGCTTGACTACTCATTAACAGATGAGTTCTGCAGAAACCACTTCTTGGTGGGACTGTTACTGAGAGAGGTGGGGACCGCTCTCCAGGAGTTCAGGGAGGTCCGACTGATCGCCATCAGCGTGCTCAAGAATCTGCTGATAAAACATTCTTTTGATGACAGATATGCTTCAAGAGTGAGTGGTCCCCAATGCAAGGAAGTATGGTTTGATAAATGTCCTTTATTTTAAGTAATATAAAGAAACTAACAATTAGAAAATTAGTGCTAACAGCATTAAGACTTTGTTTATGCAATAAAATCTAATAACAGTCTTTATAGGAAGTATCTGAATACAGGAGATGGCTAGTGCCAGCTCAGTCCATCATTCAGTTCTCAGAGCCTGGGATAAACTTATAATGTGTGCCTTTGTTTCAGAGCCATCAAGCAAGGATAGCCACTCTCTACCTGCCTCTGTTTGGTCTGCTGATTGAAAATGTCCATCGGATCAATGTGAGAGATGTGTCACCCTTCCCCGTGAACCCTGGCAGTGTACGTAAACATATTCACATATACATAGCCTGTATTTGTTTCCAGGAGCTGCGCTAACAAAGTACCACAAACTGGGTGGCCAAAACAACAGAAATTAATTCTCTCACAGTCAGGAGGTTGTCAGCATAAAATCAAGGTGTCAACAGGGTTGGCTTCTTCTGGAGGCTCTGGGTGAAGAGTCTGTTCCCTGCCTCTCCTAGTTTCTGGTGATTGCCTAAAATCCTCGCATTCTTTGGCTTGTGGCTGCACCATTCTGGTCTTGGCCTTCATCTTCACGTGGCCTTCTCCCTTGTGTGCCTGTGTCTCGGGTCTGTTGTACGCTCCTTTTCTTATAAAAAACACCAGTAATTGATTGGATTTATGACCCGCCCTAATCCAGGAGGACCACATCTTGCCTTACATCTTTATATTTGCAAAGACCCTATTTCCAAAGATCATATTCTGAGGTTCTGAATGGATATGAATTTGGGGGAGACACTATTTAACACAGTACATACCTGTGTGATCTCTCTCTCTCTCTCTCTCCACTAAAACTATAATATTGCAACTACTTAGTAAACTATATTTTTGGCTAAGATATGGTCAATCAGTTAGTAAACCTTCTACTCTTGTTAAAAATCATTATAAAATCATGATTTTCTTATGCCCCAATATCTTGTAAGACATCAGGACCTTCCATGTGTACTCTACAAATCTTTAGCCCCAGTTCTGGTTGTAACATACAATGAAGTCTTGGAAAAACCACCCCTTTGGGCTGAAGTCTCTGTAGAAGTAGAAAAATCAAGCTAGATGTCAGATAGTCAAGGTGAGTGACACAGGCCCCACCTTCAAGAACTGACAAGCTTAATTTATATTATCTTCATGCAGTCATTTAAAACTGTTTTGGAAATTAAGTTGACTAAAGAATGATCACAGAAATGGCCTCAAAACTTTTAAATTAGAGACCACCTGCCATTAATTTGGACTGATGTTTCCAGCTCAGCAATTTCTTTTTCCCTTTCATGCTGGATCCTTGAACCAGCTCAGCTGTTAATCTTGCCACTTTGTCACCTAGTGTACACTTAGGGAGTTTCTTTTCATCTTTCTGTCCCTTTTCCTGAAACAGTGATGCATTGTTCCATTTTTCACTCTCTGCCTCCAAATACATCTAAATAGTAATACAATGAGATGATCCATATTTATAGAATTTTTTTCAGTTCCAAAAGGCATGAAGTTTCACTGTCCTTAAATGAACTTCACCGCACTAATCTCACCCTATACAACATGGTGTTCCACATGTGTATTCTCCAAACCTTTTCTAATCAGAATAAGTAATTCAGGGCATAATGCTACTTCTCTGTACTGCTTCAGTCCTGAGAAAAAAGAATACAGGTCTTTCCTTGGCTTGTACCAAGTTAAATCTCTCTTGTCTCATTACTTCAAAGCTAACATAGTTTCTCCACTGATTGAGAGTTCTTACATGAAGCTCCAGACTTGCAGAGATTTTTCACTGCGGCTCTTGTAAATCACTGTTGCTCATTTAAGAGGATTTCCAACCTGAGAGAAAAACAAGTGTCCTAGTTAGAAAGAGCACGTGAGGCTTTTTCTGAAGGAAAAAAAAAATACCAAAATAAATTAAAGCAATGTTGGATGTCAGAGATCTGGAAAGGGAGAGGTGCCAGACATTCTGGGAAAAGAAATGACTTTATGGTCCCTGCCCACCCCTTCCCCACTTTAAATATTCTGTGCTCCCTTCTCCTTGCTCTTCCTCTAATCCACTTGCCTCTTTTCTCCCTCTCATATCCTGTGGCTGCTTCTCCCACTCAGGCACATTTAACTTGTCAGGCTGTTCTGTCTTGTTCTAACACTTGGCCTCACACTTCCAAGATCAGTTGATGACTCTTTTTAAATCATCTTTGATTATTTCTTCTTTTTTCTCCCCTTTGGCAGACTGTGAAGGAGGAATCACTTATTTTGCCAGCTGTAAATCCGTTAGTGACGCCACAGAAGTCTGGAAACACACTGGATAACAACCTGCACAAGGACCTCTTTGGCGCTATCTCTGGCATTGGTAATGCTTGGGGATCTTGTCTGCTTGTCTGTAGTTTAGTTCGGAAAGTGTCTTTAATGTAATAGTTTGTAGCTTTCGAATTAGGACTTCGAAGTCTGAGTTTCTGCTTTGATTATTGCTTTCCTGGTTTTAATAGTTAATGCCTAAAACCCCTCAACTCTTTACTGAAATAAAGACTCCCAGGTTCTCATGAATTCTGAATATAGTACACTTAATCCCATATTTGTATTGTTAGCTTTTTATTTATGCCTAAGTTAATTTACCATTTTAAATCTATAAATTGGAGTGCTTATGCTTTTAGAAAAGGAATATCTTTGGAGGTCTGTGTGAGGGTATGGTAAGATATATTTGTAATGGTAGCAATTTAGATGAAATGTGACAAAGTAATTCCTGAAGGGGATACTGGTTTATGGCTAGATTGCAATCCTAAAATTGGTTTTCTAAAACCTTTCCTAGAATATGTCTTTGTATCTGAAATAAAGTAAGAGCAGTTCCCATGAGGAAGAAAACAGATGGCATAAATCAGATCCAAATGGAGTAGTTTTTCCAAAAGAAAATGCCTGAGAAATATACTTATTAATACCCTGAGTAATTGAGCCCCTGTGCCAACTCCTCCATAAAGAAAATGATACCAAAAAATGTCTTCACAGAATTGTCACAGAAACGTTTCTATTCTGTCTTTATCCCTTTCTCTTATACAACACTTGGAATAAATGAAACCTCTTGCCATCAGGACAGAATAAAGGGCAGCCCTTTTAGCTAATGAATTTGCAGGAATGTTGTTCATGCTGAGTTTATGTCCTTACTTCTTGTGTTGTTCTTGTTGTTAACATGCTATTTCATTTAAGTGATGAAACTGGGCAGTATGTAAAACTGGAAATCACATATTAATGCCTGAATTTACCCTACAATACCAATACCAATCCTTAATCTTACTTATGTTCATGTACATTTTCAGTTATACCTACTTATTTTGCTGTTATAAAGATTAAACGAGTTGAGTCATACACAGCACTCACACAGTGTTTCCATGAGCCATTCTCCTGGGACCTTTACTCTGTCTTCTTTGTCTTGCTCTGCCCATGTGTCCAGCCGCTGCTGTGGGATTAGAAAAGGAGCTGTCTTGTAGGGTCTTGTCTGTAGTGGTTCTCAGCAGTGGTTTTAAGTCAGGCAGATGTGGCTTTGGATCCAGACTCCACCATTTACTAATTGCCATCAGCAGAATTTCTTTCCTCTTCAACCTGTGTCCACATCTTTGAAACAAATTCATAATGAGGGATAAAGAGCTAATACATGCAGTACTTGCATGGAAAACACTCATTAATATTTGACTGCCATTATAATAAGCACAATTCTTTAGCATTATTTTTGTTTTGTGATATACTCTCAGTTGCCAATTAAATGAGTCCCAGGGCCTAGGAATGTGTTGAAATATTAACTCCCTGACCAGTACTCTGTAGGATTCAAGACTGTAGAAATGACCATACTGTTGGGTTGGCCAAAAAGTCTGCATTTTTTTCTATAAAATAAAAGACACACTTCATTTCAACTAAGAACTTTGGATATTTTGAGTATGTCAGCTATCTTCCACATGGTATAATGTTGATTGGGCTCAATTAATGTCTCGATTTGATCGTTACCAGCTTCAACTGGTCTACCTGACCAGGGAGCATCGTCCAGCAAGAAATCTCCAGCACGAAACTTTGCAAACCACTTTTGATATGTTTCATCAGTTGCAGCACCTTCTCCATACACTGCACACACCGTTTTTTTTTGCATTTCAGTTACATTTTCACCTTTCTTGAAATAGTAAAGCATAGTATGCCAAAAATGTTGCATATTTTCTTCCATCTTCAATATTAAAATGGCTACACAAATTTTCACCAATTCTGATGTCTTTTTTAATACTCACTGATATGACAGCTGTCATAACACAATCTAACAAAATTGTTTTGAATGTAATTAAGCACAACTAAGCACTACTAGAGCCATCTTATGGGGAAAAACCAAGTGAACTTTTTGGCCAACCCAATAGAATGAGGTGATGTTTTGGTTCTGACTTTATTCTCCAGTTTCCCTTTCATCTTGCTAGGGTTTGGGATACATTGAGAATGTAAAGATGAACCATTCAGCATGACTCAGATGGCATGATCTTCAATATTCTGTGTTCATGGTGAAGTTATGAAAAGTACGTGAGACTGACTTAGTGTCTTCTCACTCTTTCTTGCATTTCCAGGCCTGAATCCACTTTTTATAGGAATTCACCACAACAGACATTTATGCCCAGGCTTTATCTGTGTTTCCTCCATTTTTAAAAACTTAGGTCCTTGTTTCCTTTTAGGAATGCCGTTCAGGGAAGCTCCACCTGTGAACTAGGTTTACTAGTTGTTTTCTGGTAGCCTTAGGAACTTTTGTTTTATTCAGCAAGGAGTTTTCAGATAACTTTAGTCCCAGTGCTTGTCCTTCAAGAGCAGACTTTCTCCTTACATCTCCATTTAGAACAAATCCTGCCATACATATTGAGAATGAGCCCTCAGCAGAATTTTTTTTAAATGTCTCTAGAATAGGGTGCATGAAAATTTCTAAAACTGATTTATTGGTAGGTACAGATATGCTGAGATTACATTCATTTTAAAAGTTAGACGTGATTGGGCTCAGGGTTCCTTTTATCACCTAGGCAGTATATTACATTGAGATGCCTGTATAAAGGACAGAGAGGTGAACTACACTTCTTTTTATTTTACTTACATGTTGTTTAATATTTTAAAGTTATGTTCTAGCCCAGGATATTAAATATAAACACACATAATATAAAGGAACGTAATTCTACTAAGTGTGTTGATTTTCATTTACTGCATATCCATCGGTTCACCTTAGACTGGGACCATAATTCTGGAACTGAGCCTAAAACTCTGAGAATTTAGGATCAAATTTTACTAAAGACCTCTTTCTCTTGAGCTCTGTGTTCTATGTTAAATATGAAGTCCAAGATTATTAGGAGGACTATAATTATAATTTGGTCATAATATGTATTTTTTTTCCTGAGTATAGAAAAAAGCTCATAGTTTTTTCATAGGTTTTTCACCAGCTCCTTGTGAAGGTCAATCACATAGTTTCTGTTTGGGGAATGCAGCCTGTGGCCAATGGTTTACATGTTTCATCCTTCACTTTTATTTTCAAGTTCCTCTGGCTGTTCTTTTCTTGGTTTTGATACGCTGAATCGGTTTCAGGGGTAGTGGTGGATAAGCCTGAATGTTAGGTAAGGGGAGGGATTAATTTAGAAGTGTTTTAGTCCATGGCAGCTAATCTGCATGCTGAAACCTGAAAACAGCCAACCTGTTCTGTCGTGAGGTGCCAGGTAAAGGCATCTGCAGCTTGGGTATGGGAGGCTATGCTTACAGCTTGCTGGAGCACAGTGTTAAAAAGTCTCCTCATGCCATCTGCATGACCAGCCAGGACTTTGTGCTGGAGGCAAGCGTTTAGTTTAGTACAGGATGTACAAATCTGAGAGTCATTTTTAATTATGTGATTTACATACATCTTATGTGAGCAGGAAGTAAATTTGTTACTTTGAAAAATTCCACAGTACCAGGGTGGGCGCTGATTTCTGCATTCAAATGCTATTTTTTCACAGATGTCACAAATTTTATGTCAAAGTTAGATTTCCTTCCTGCTTGTAACTGTTTATTGGAGTGCTTCCCAATCTCAGTTCACATTACTCATTATTGTCACAGTAATTTTTTTCATGGAGTTCCCAGGCTAAAAGTAACACCTGACAGCTTTGTTTATTAGGCACTTAGGACCAAGTAACTTAAGTACTTATATTCTAACACCCTAGGAGGCATTTGAAAAATATGTACTAATTTAAAGAAAACATTTGTATTTTATTTTTAATAACCAGAACTCTTACTAATGGAATATGTGTGCCTATTGGCTTTTTCAATTTGGAGTCAGGTTGCTCACAGCCCTTCTCATTTTGTTCCACATTGATTTTTGCCCAATACTTGCTTTTTACCATAGCAACCACTAAAAATACCGAGCTTCACAAAGATATGATATCATCAAAAGGAAAGTAGCACAATTTAATGTTGAAACTACAGTTTCCAACAGATGTCAAGTATCATTGTGTTTCCCCTGAAAATGTAAACTCTCCCATGACACCCCTCTGAGTTTTCTAGGGCACCTCAGCATACAGTTGGAATATTACGGGTTTTTTGCATGGTTTACCTTTTTTCTTTGATAATTATAGGTGATTTTATCTTTTAAAAAATTTTTTAAGTCTTTATTCTATCCCATTCTGAAACTGTATGTGCCCCTTTAGTCTTAGCAAAGTGGTTTCTTTTTTCTTTTTTTGATGTTTTATTTTATTTTATTTCATTTTATTTTTTTTAATTTTATTTTAATTTATTTTTTCAAATACATTTGTCTCTGCCTCCCTGCCACCACTTTCCCTTGCACCCTCCCTCCTTCCCTGCCTCAGCTCTTCCCCTTTGGTTTTGTCCATGAGTCCTTGCTATATGTTCCTTGACTTTTCCCTTCCCTTCCCTTTCCCTGCCCCCCCCCTCCTTCCTTCCCTCATGTCTCTGTTGATTTCTTTTCCTTTCAGTGTTGCTGATCTTCTTTTCCTTGCCTCTTTGTACTGTTGGTTCGGTTCCACTTATAGGTGAGATCATATGGTATTTGTCTTTCGCCCCCTGGCTTATTTCACTGAGCATAATGCTCTCCAGTTCCATCCATTGCTGTCGCGAAGTTTAGTAGTTCTTTTTTACTTTCTGCTGCGTAGTATTCCATTGTGTATATGTACCATCACTTTTTGATCCGATCATCCACTGATGGGCATTTAGGTTGCTTCCAACACTTGGCTGTTGTAAATTGTGCTGCTATGAACATTGGGTGCCTAGGTTCTTTTGTATTGGCGTTTTGGTGTTCTTAGGGTATAGTCCCAGCAGGGGAATCACTGGGTCAAAAGGCAGTTCCATTTTCAGCTTTTTGAGGAAATT